TTGTTATGGCTTCAGTGACATTATCGGTGGCGGATCCACAAAAGGAACCTATTGGGGGGAGAAAATAATTAAAGTACTTCTTGAAAAAAATTGTTATCAAGTACATGATAAGTGTTTCAAATTTAATAAAGTATATTACACTATTAAAAGCCTTAATGAAGTAGTTCATGACTACTCTTTGCGAGTTTTCATCACTTTGATTAGGATGATAATAAAAAATTGTCTTCTATTTACGGGATCATAAGGACGTTTCTTTTTCTTTTTCTTTTTTAACCAGAAGGAAGAGGGCGAGTTTTGAATCCGCGACCTCAGAGTCTGAATAGCCTTCCATATTACTTCTTCAGAGTTTCAAGAAGCACATTGGAAAGTACGTAGTACTATTGAATATATGATACATTTGTCTCTAAATTTTCTAGAATTGATGAGGGTGTAATATTAAAAATGTGTCCATGAAATCTAGAAAACAGTGTAAAATTAAATTTGTTTTTAATATGCAGTATACTCTTTATATACTTCAAATCTTTATTTAATCATCTAAAACGACCAATAGTTACTGTATTTTCTGACTATATATATAAATTTATTTTAGCCTAAAATTTTAAAGTGTAATATAACTATAAATAGTTGATCTTTTTTGAACGGGTAAAATAAAATAGTTGATTTAATGGTTAATTTCTATTATAATTTAGCTAATTTAATTATACTACATTTAATTTAATTGTTAGTGTACAATTTATTATCATCATCATCATCAGTATTAGTATTATTATTATAATATTATAGTCATCATCATTATATATGTAGTATGTAATTTTAAAATGAGATTGTTAATTTAATCTACCCACTAAATGAATTAGAAAATTAATTTTATCCCTTTTACCTCTTCTGTTATGAGGCAATAAAGGGAGCAAATATGATATCCTTCTCTTTGACTCTGTTTAAATTGGACCGCTTGATTATTTATAGGGGCCAGGTAATTTTTCTGATTGGGAGCGGATTTGTGATCTTATTAATTTTTCTAATGGACCTTATTGATCTTTTATTGGAGGCAGTTTCCCTCCTACACACTACTTGCATCCACCCCCAGACATTATTAATGTTATGAAAGATAGAAATAACATTGTGTCAATTTTCTTGTTAGGGTGAGAGTTGCTATCTATTCTTTACAAATACTACTCCGATATCAAATATTTTTTATTTTGAAAGTGAGTATTTGTGATTTAGACAGTGCTTAGCCAAATAAATTCAACTCTTACTACAAATTCCTAGTTTGTATCTTGTAGAATCATCATCATCATCATATATGTATTGTCCTTTTGTGACAAATAATGTTTATTCAAAATAAAAATAGCAAACCAAACTTTAAGAACGTGTGTTTTATTATTTTATGGTACACAAAATTTGGAGATAAGATTCTAGTTGTTGTTTCAACATCATAATAATTAATCAAGATGAAAAAGCTTACCTTTTGGTAGCAGTTGAAATATAGAACAACAATAATTTTCATAATTGCAATATTTCATTAGCATATCGGTATGTATTTGGCTTGAGGCAATCATCTAGGAGTGATGGTATACTTTCCTCCTACAAAATACAATAGTTCTATTTCTGGATTTTTCATTTGTTCCGCTTCTATTTGATTAAGAGATTATCCCAATGTGTTTTTATGTCGGAAAATAATTATTCTTGATTGTAAAATTTAAGAAAAATACATACTCCGTATTACTTAAAGATTTATGTTTAAGTGTCTTCTAAGCAAAATGTTTTGATTCAATATCCTCATGCTTTCTTAAAGTGCAACAAAACATGAATTATAATTTTTTTGAATTATTAAATAATGGGATGATACACAAATTGCTTATTAAATATTAATGAAGGCAATATATATATTTATGGACATGTAACATTATGATTTGTGGATGACCTTAATTGTATTGGGATCGATGTGTATCATAACATCAGGATATTTGTTTGACACAGGATATGTGAAAGCTACAAAAGGAATACAAACTGGAAGAGACAACATGATGGACAATACAAATTTCCCTTTTACCTTTATTCCACTTTATGTACTTGTTTTAAATCTTCAATTATAATTTTGATAAGGGCCTTCAAAATTTTGACCTTATAGAAGCATCCTTAATTTACACCTATATTTGTAGTTTTGACGATAAGGACCTTCAAAATTTTGACCTCATAAAGCATCCCTTCTTTACACTTGTATTTGTAGTGATTTTCATAACGGTGTCAGTGTCCGGGTGTGGTAATATAGGCACCACAATGGTGGGGCTATAGTTGTTTTAACAGAATAATCAAAATTCAGGCTAAAGAATGTAAATTAAAGTGATGTTTTTGCTGGAAAGATAAACGAGCTGGGTAGAGTTATTCATCAAAGAATACTACTACCTCCGTCCCATATTTATCTTCATAGTTCGGTTTACGATGTTTGACTGACGATAAAGCAACTCGATCTCTGTTCACACTCGGAATATTTTTAGTAAATAAAATTTACATATTCAGAAACTACATTAAAACCGCTACAAAGCCTGATCAAGAAAATTTAAGTTTGATAAAAATTTGATATATAAAGTAAAAGATTGAGAGTAATTTGAGTTGACCATGTGAATAGTAACTATGAAGATAATTTTGGGACGGAGGGAGTACAAGTATAATATATACTATCCATATAAAATAATTTTGGACATTCAAATTTAAGTGCTAAGGTAACCACCAATCATCATGTGTCACCGCAACCACCGAGAGTGATGCCGCTAGAAATAAGGGTTCTAATAATAACACTTATAAGTTATAACAAATTGAAAATTACCTAATGTAAGATATTATAATTATTGCACTCAATAAGAGCGACTTCATACATTTAGTTACCATTTAGTTACTTTGTGTAAAATTTATTTCGTCCCGTTAAGATTGTCTCATTTTTGCCTTTTGGACCTTCCCACTGAGATTTTATCATACCAAATCTTACTTTATCAATTCAGTATCAATCCTATAAATCCATTTTTCTTAATAATCACATCATTTTCTCACGTCCCAATGTAGGTGGGACAGAACTAGTACATTATATTAATTTTAAAAAAAATGCAAGGAAACATAAAGGAAAAGAGATTATTTTTTAGAGAGAAACCCTTTAAAATTACCATATATAGCACTTTAAATGCGCTATAAGTGATGTCGTTCATTTGTGATTATAACTGAGGCAGTAAATATATTATCTTCAAAGAATTTGTCCATAGATTTTTATTATAAAATCACCAATAGACAACTAATTGACGACTATGCAACTGCGCAGGATAACAACTAACTTAAATGGTGCCATAACTAATGATATTGTGATCATCTATTAAATGAAACAAACTAGTACCCAAAGTGTAGTGAAATGTTTCATTCCATATTATCACATAAAATCCGGCCATCCTTGTTATGTATCAAATAAACATAAAATCCAACACAATTAAATTATATGGTCTTAATAATATGAGCTCCATACATTTTTTTCTCTAGAAAAATATGTAATTATTTAATTCGCACATCATGATTAACAAGTTTGGGTTCTGACACTACAAAAAAACACGCGTGTAGTCACGGACCGTAGTCACGGATTTGGTCCGTGACTAGTTTAGTCACGGACTAGTCACGGAAATTTTAAAAAAAATAGTCACGGCTTGGACCGTGACTATGGCCGTGACTACACGTAGTCACGGTCGTGGTCCGTGACTAAAATCCTCCGATAGGCCCGTTTGATTTTCCGGCCTGGCTTGTTTACTCCGGCGACTTAGTCACGGCCACATCCGTGACTAAAGCCGTGACTATGATTAAAATTTAATTTTCCACTCCCATAAATTAATTCGCAACGGTATTATGTACGGATAAATTTAGTCACGGCCATGTCCGTGACTATTTCCGTGACTACTTTGTTTAACACGTCATTTACACGTCATTAACACGGGTTGGACGCGTAATGGACACGGTTTTGCTTAGTGACGGACAAATCCGTGACTAAGTCCGTGACTAAATTTTTTATATATGCAGGAGCAGCTCATTCAACAGAACCACACCAATTCATTCCCAGTATATACAGTATCTGTTTGAAAGATCGAAGGATGTAGTCTATCTTCTATCATTTTCCCCGTTTATGCAGATAAGGTATGTTATTTGAATTATTATTTTTATTTAGGATTAGTTGGTTCAATTTAAATTATTAAAACTATTAAATTAGTGAGGTTGTTAATTAATTAACAACATATTTAACTATAAGCGTAGTAATGTCATAAATTAAAATTAGTTAAACTTTTAGGTTTATAAAATAATTTAATTAAAATTAGTTAGCTAAACGTAGTTTAAAACGTAATGATGTTTATGTTAAGTGAAATTAGTTAGTTAAACGTACGTTAGTAATGTGTTAATTAAGTGAATTGTGAATTGTTATTGTGAATTGTGTATTATTTATTAATTCAAATGACTTTATATACATGTTCAAATTATTGGGTTGGATTTGGTCATATTAATTTAGTGAATTGTGAATTGTGTATTACTAATAAGATTAAATGTCATTAACGTAATAATTTAGTGTAGGTTTAAACGTAGGTTCACAAAAATAATTTAATTATAATTCGTTAGCTAAACGTAGGTTTAAATGTAGCTAGTGATGTGTTAATTAAGTTAAATTAGTTAGCTAAACGTAGGTTTAAACGTAGTGATGCATTAAAAGGGGACGGAATGAACTAGTTAAATTTAACTAAATGAATTAGTTAAATTTAGTTAAACGTATGTTTAATTTAAATGTAGTGTTAATAAATTACTTAAATTTTTTATAATATTAGTTAAATTTAAGTATTAGGTAATTACTTATATTTTGTGCATTATTGTTGTGAATTGTGTGCATTTCATTTAATTTAGTGAAAATTAGTTGATTATTTAGTGAAATAAATTACTTAAAATTGTGTGCATTGCATTTCATATAATTTTTTATTATAATATTCAGGCATAATGTATAAACAAAATAGAAGTTGGATGTATGATAAAGATGCGGTATTGTACGGAATGCAATCAAATTTTCTCGAGGGAGTCGGGGAATTTATTGAATTTGCACTTGAACATCCGGCTTATATGAGTGGTGATAAAATAAGATGTCCATGTTCAAAGTGTAAAAATCTCAAATTTAAAGACCCACACGAAGTTGGGTATGATTTGTACGCTGTCGGTTTTGTTCCCAATTATTATAATTGGACTTCTCACGGCGAACCTTTGGATCCATCTGTTATACCACAAACGGTAGGTTCGTCTCGTTACGTCCCTCCAGAGATGAGTGCGTGGGGAGACCGTGCTGAATGAGGTGGGACCAACAGATGGTATATGACGCATACGGTGTACCGTCTCAGTTCAACCCCCCACAACCACCTAACGACCCCCCTGAAGCCTCAACCTCGTATCAACCAGATGCGGATGAAAATCCGACATTTTATCAACCTTATGTGGATGAAGGTTTGGCTGAGAGATTTCAGGATGTTCTAAAAGCTGCCGACCAACCTCTGTATGCTGATTGTGAGGGATACTCTCAGCTATCCGCTGTTACTGAGTTCATGAACATAAAAGCCGAATACAGTCTCCCTGAAACTTGCATGAATAGAGTCTTGCAGTCAGTAGGAGGGATGCTACCGCGAGATCATACCCTTCCCGATTCATATTACCACATGAAGCAGTTAATGTCTAAGTCGGGGCTAACTTGTGTTGAAATTGATGCGTGCCCGGAAGGATGTATGTTGTTCTGGAAGGAGGATGAGGCACTTGAGTTCTGCAAGTTCTGTGGTGGAGACAAATACAAACCTGTTCGTCAAGGTAAAAAGAAACCACGACATAGGTCTGCACTGTCTAAACTGTATTACCTCCCAATAGCTCCTCGACTGCAAAGGATGTATGCTTCGACTGCTACTGCGAAACACATGACATGGCATGTTGAGCACGAAACCAACGAGGGTATGATGGCTCACCCTTCGGACTGTGAAGCCTGGAGACACTTTGACCGCTGTCATCCTCAGTTTGCTATGGAGCCACGAAATGTGCGGCTGGGATTGTGCTCAGATGGATTTGCTCCTTTTGGCAGGTTTGGCAAGAACTATTCATGTTGGCCGGTCATGTTAACTCCTTACAATCTCCCTCCCGACATGTGCATGAAAAGTCATTTCATCTTTTTGTCTTTAATTTGTCCGGGTTCCAAGGATCCTGGGCGAAAGATAGACATTTATCTCCAACCCCTTATTGAGGAGATGAAAGAACTGTGGGCCGTTGGGACACCAACTTATGATGTTTCATCAGATAAAATGTTTATCATGAAAGCTGCCATCATTTGGACCATTAGCGACTTCCCTGCCTATGGCATGCTTTCAGGATGGAGCACACACGGTCTGATGGGATGTCCGATATGCATGGAGAAATCAGGTGCCAACTGGATCAGTTACAGCAAAAAAGGAAGTTACTTTGATTGTCACCGCAAGTTTCTCCCGGAAAGGCACCGATATCGAAAGGACAAGAAGTATTTCATTAGAGGCAGAGCGGTACGAGAGAGCCCACCCCCGAGATTGACCGGTGAAGAAATTTATAACCGGGTTCGACGTTTTCCTACAGCTATGGAAGAGCCAAACCAAGAGCCATATAGGTATTGTGATACCCATAAGTGGACAAAGAGGAGCATATTCTGGGAGTTGCCTTATTGGAAAGACCTTCTCATCCGTCACAATTTAGATGTCATGCACACTGAGAAGAACGTCTTTGACAATATATTTAACACAGTGATGGATTTGAAAGGCAAAACTAAAGACGGTCTTGCAGCTAGGAAAGATATGACTATTTGGTGTGATAGACCCGAACTTTCTGTTGATCTAGAATATCAGGGCAAGGAAGTTCCAAAAGCAGTCTACCAGGTCACAGAACCACAAAAGGCAGCAATATTACAATGGCTTGCGTCTCAGAAGTTTCCAGATTTCTATTGCTCCAACTTGTCTAGATGCGTAGACATGAACAAACTTACCACGACGGCGAGCATGAAAACTCACGATGCTCATGTAATAATGCAAAGACTTCTACCAATTACACTAAAAGAGATGCTCCCTGAACACGTATGGTCCTGCATTACTGAAATCAGTTTGTTGTTTCAATCGATATGTTCCAGCGTTTTGGATGCGACATCCCTCCGGAGACTACAAGAGTCTGTTCCCATTCTGATGTGTAATCTGGAAAAAATAATGCCTCCATCGTTTTTCGATACAATGGAACATCTCATAATACATCTTCCGTATGAGGCTTTGACTGCTGGGCCCGTCTTCTATCGCTGGATGTACAGATTTGAAAGGTTAGTCACAATTTCATTTAAAAAAAGAATATTTATTTCACAATAACTGTTAACATGTGTATTATTGCATTATTGCAGATTTCTAGGAGAGCTGAAAAAGAAAGTGACCAACAAGGCACACGTTGAGGCTTCAATTTGTCAAGCGTATCTTCAACAAGAAATCTCAACGTTCTCGTCTTTTTACTTCGAGCGTGACGTCATCACCAGAAAGAAGAGACCTGCCCGGAACGATGACATTGGCGAGGATTTATATGAAAATGTAGTTTCCATCTTCAATTACCCAGGCAGAGGTAAAGGTGCAAATAGGCCCATGTACTAACCAAAAAAGGTCAAATAAGCCCTTATTTAGGAGGCTCTGTCCAGCCGTCGCCATTTGGATTGGTTCCCGGTGGATTTTTTTGATGAAACTTTTTTAGCATCTTATTCATTAAGTCTAGTTTAATCATACAAAATTTCAGCTAAAACTTCAACCGGGAAGGCATTCAAATGAATTCTTGAAAATAACTGCACACTTAGAAGCGCAGTTATCTTCAAGAATTCATTTGAATGTCTTCCCGATTGAAGTTTTAGCTGAAATTTGATATGAGTAAACTAGACTTGATGAATAAGATGCTCAAAACATTTCATCAAAAAATTCCACCGGGAACGACCCCAAATGACGACGGCCGGACAGAACCTCCTAAATAAGGGCTTATTTGACCTTTTTTGGTTAGTACATGGGCCTATTTGCACCTTTTTCCCTCTATTTTTAGAACCCTCCATTCACTTACCCACTTTTACTACCCTCCATAACACACCATTAAATGAAATTAGGAGTCCAAAATTTTCATCTTTAACATTTTGGACTCCTAATACCTCACCACTCCAAGTGGTCTAATAAGCTTGTGAAGAGGGCAATGCTGACATGGTCGACATCATGATGGTTATACACCCCGTTTATTTGTAAAATAACATTTATTTTTTTATTTAATAGCATGCAAGTTTATTAAAACAATATCCTTTTTATTAACCAAATAAGGTTAAAACCCCAATGTTTAATTCTTTCAATCCAAACGTGATGTTTTCAAAATTATACTTATTCATAATATTGTTTTCTAAAATAAATGGGCTTGTAATATAATATTTTATTAGTTGCCTACAAAGAATTTTACGGAGTATATAGCGAATTGATGAAAAAAATTAACTTTCAGAGATATGCAGAGACATATTGGAGTAAGGAAATAAATATGTAACTTTCCATTTGAGTTTATTAAATACTCCCTCCGTTCTCTAATACTTGTCACTCTTTCCATTTTGGGAAGTTCTCTATTAGTTGTCTCCCTTTCCATTTTTGGTAAGTTTTTTCAATAAATATACTCATTTACCCTCATCATCTTTCTTACTTTTTCCTTTACATACAACTCACTACACCTTTTATCATATCCCTATTAATTTCATCTTAAATCTTGTGCTAAAGGCTATACTCTCATCTATTATCTATTAGAGAACCGAGGGAGTATGTATCGTAATCCTAAAAACTTACAAATATGAATGAAGGCTTGGATCTCTCAATTGTGTCAATTGTTGTGTGCATAGTAAAATTGCACATTGCATTAAATATATTGCACTGCTGTTAATATCCAAAGGTAAAAAAATGCCTCTTAACCATTAGTTATATAACGACAACTTATTATGTTTCTAACTATTCTTTAGTGTGACATGCAAATATGTTGGAGATTTGGACATTATAGGGAATCTGTCCGTACCATTCAAGTTATGTTATTTGTATATTTCCATTCCTTCCTATTTACTTTTTTATATTTATAAAATCACACAATTTATGCAAATACATTTAACTACTTGTTTAGGCCAAAATGAAACTTTAGATTCGATTCTTTTTAGGGAAAATTCCAAAATAAAAGTAAAAAAGTTTGAAAATTTCAAAACAGAAATGTCATGTTTTTATTCTCAAAATAGGAATAATTACTACCATGTTTGAAAAATGCTGATATGTTTAAAGTCTGGTACTGCCAAAACATGAAAGTAATTAATCTTACTTTGAGAATAAAGACATGATAATCCTATTTTGCAATATACAAACGTTTTTAATGCTATTTAAGGCCATTTTCCTTCTTTTTATTAGTTAACTTTAAGATCATAAAAAAATGAAAATTTCAAGAATTAATATGATTTTAATGATAAATTCAAATTCACTGTCGGATAAGTTTTGGAGGTGATAAAATGAACTCAAAGAATGTACCTTCAAATAAAATTAAGAACTCAAAGAACTTCATGTCCGGAATTCCGGACAGGATCCGCCGTCCGGACGGCGGCGTTTGGACGCCTTCCCGGTGGAATTTTTTGATGAAATTTTTATGGAATGTTCTCCATCAAGTCTAGTTTATCCACAAAAAAATTCAGCCAAAAACTCAATCGGGAAGGTCGTCAAATGATTTTTGCAAGTTAACTGGTCCGGAATATGTATTTTCCGGACCAGTTAACTTGCAAAAATCATTTGATGACCTTCCCGAATGAGTTTTTGGCTGAATTTTTTTGTGGATACACTAGGCTTGATGGAGAACATGTCATAAAAATGTCATTGAAAAATTCCACTCGGAAGGCAGCCAAACGCCGCCGTCCGGACGGCGGTTCCGGTCAGGAATTCCTGACCGGAAGAGTACTCCTACTAGTAATAGTTAACTAATGATTAAAAAAATGGACTATGTTCTTCATTTTTGGCCTAAAATGAAGAACTACCTACATTTAAATAGTTCTGACAGGATCATTGTTATCACTATAAATATGTATATATTTATTTATTTATGCTATGCCTCACGTGTCACAAGAGGTTAACTCAAACTCGACTCAAATGCTTAACAAGCCAACTCAAATATCATCATCCGATAATAGATTTTTAGCCAACTCAAATATCATCATCCGATAATAGATTTTTACCACTCATACAGTCATACTTATCAATGGCATCATTGGTTACATGTTACATGATATTTATATGCACGCACGCACATTGACACATATGTAAAGTTATGGATAAAAGGGAGACCTTTTTTTTACTTTCCAAAAATGGGACTAAAAAGAGGATTAAGAGAGTATTATACCCTTATACTAATATAATCTCACCCATTAGTGCTCCAGTATAGTCACAGTGACCAACAAAAATAGTGACAAAAAATTAGTGACGAAAAATCCAAATTCCGCCAAGTGACAAACTTTCGCCCGGTTAGTGACCAACGTCCGCCCGTACAGTTACAGTTACCCGACTCATCCAGTTACAGTTACCCGAACCGTCCAGTTACAGTTACACGACCCGTCCAGTTACAGTTACCCGACTCGTGCAGTTACAGTTACCCGACCCGCCGATTATGGTTACAATTACATAACCCGTCCAGTTACAGTTACCAACCGTTCACTTACAATTACCAACTCGTCCAATTACCCATAAACCACCACTGACCACAGCCACCGCCAATTACCCATAAACCACCACCTCCCACCGCCACCGCCAGCAACCACACCTCCCACCTCCGGCGAGCACCACACTCAACCCCAATGCCTCACCCAGCCCCCTCCCCTGGTCACCCTAACCCCCCTGCATCACCCATCCCACTCTCCCCTGCATCACCCATCCCAATGCTCCGGCCACCGCCGGCCATGCTCCGGCCGCCACCGCTCATGCTCCGGCCGCCGCCAGATCGGCCTTACAAACCTTACCTGACCCCACCATCGCCCAAGACCTTGTCCAGACCTCATCCCATGCCCCAGGCAACCAGGCCCGTCACCTCCGCCCACCATTTCCCCCTCCCCTGCTGCAGGCGGCTGCAAATCTGAGAATTAAGGCCGTCGCCGTCGCAATCGAACTGCAGCCGCCACAAATCTAGTAACGTGGATGAAGGCATTGTCGAGACTAGCTTCTGCCATCGTCCATGGAATTTTCAACCAAGACATCTTCGTTGTTGAGCCGCTGAAGCACCTAGACCGCTAGACGAAGAAGATGAACATTGCAGATGCGAGCGGCGAAGGGCAGGCGCGGGCGGCAGCGTGTATCGGCAAAAAGGTGTCCGACGTTGATGTTTGGAGCTTTGGTCGGAGCTGTTGTTGCGCGCAGGAAAGAAGCTCGGAGAAAACCGTGGGATGGTGCGTCGCTTGGAGATCTGGTGCGGTCCTTTTTTTGTCAAATTAAAAATCAGTCCTAGTTTTGGAAAATGAGAAGTCGAGACTCCTTTTTTAGTCTTTATTTCTATATACTCTCTCCGTCCCCATAACAACCTCCCGGTTTGACTTTCACACACTTTTAGAAAATAAACTTGACTTTACTGTAGAGTGCACTGTTTTGCACTGTTTAAACACTGTTTGACACTGTTTAAACACTGTTTGGCACTGTTTATCACTTTTTGATGTAGATAATTTGCCAAATAAGGAAAGTATTGAAGTGGGAAGTTAATTTTGGGACATCCATTTAAGGAAAGTGGGAAGTTGTTTTTGGGACGGAGGGAGTAATATATAGGTTGTTTTTTCATATCACAACAAAGATGATACTTCATACCACAGTTCTCTCGGTTTTAGTATTATTAACTTTTATCAAAAGTATTGATGGCAAAATTTTAAAAAATATTCAAATCAGTGCAGTGATTAAGAAATTATAATCCACATAGAGTACTTAAAAGTCCAACAAAATAGTCCAGAAGCAGCAAAATGACAAACGAGTCCCTCGCCACAATACAGCCACTTCAAAGACAAAAAAAAGAAGTGCTACAAGGAGCTCTGCGTAATTCTTATCATCTTTATGGATCACCGGAGTCAATACCCGAACCACAACCTCTCGTTGATTTGCCTCAAAGACCTCAACCCGTTTCGAGGATCCATATTCGGTTCGTTCTTGACTCAAAAACCCTCCTAGCCCACCGTATGTTGTAACCTTCCATTATATAGGCTATAATATACGTAGTATATATATGTAAGGGCTCTTTACTTGGCCAACAAAAAGAAAAAGAAAATGTGCCCTTGTTCCGTCAGTTGCAAAGGAAGGCAGCCTTGATATCCAAAACCATACGTGAGATAAGTGCATTAACAGTCTCGACCGACTCCAATGTAAGCTTTGCTCCCGGCGAGCTGCTCACTAACATTTGGAACCCAACAGTCAGTAAAGATCCGTTGTTGTCATTTCCATCTATTGAAGGGGCTCCTTTGGAATCATCCAACCAACCAGTGTTGTTATAATAGTCCGATACTATGGAAAATCCAGATGGAAGAAGAGCCACACAGGAAGAATCCCCTCCATTCATCACAAGTGTCATTTCTTGTGCACCCACTGAAGCATATGTTATGATGGACCCAGACATGTCAGTGCACGACTCTTGCAACATCAACATGCTATTTTGATTCACACTAGCTGAAGCAGTCTGCACGTCAAAAAGGCCAAAAAGTCAAGATGGTGCTTCACAAAGGAGAACGAAAACGTTACAATTTTGGCCTCGACTTTTAGGTCATTCCTACTCTCGGACCCTGGCCTATAGTCTTTCCGACCACTTATCCCACCAATTTCGTTACAATTTTAAGTTATTTTCACTAGAGGTGTCGAAAAAGACCAAAGCTACAAAGAATCATAGGCATCATGTAAAAGTGGAAAAAGTAAAAGTTGGGGACCAAAAGAGAGAATATTTAATAGTTGTAGGACTAAAAATTGAACTTTTCCATATGAGAGATGACAGAAACTCATTGGAGAATGTCTCTCGAACGATAACTTGTTATACTTGCATTAGTGTCAACCTTATTTGATAAACTTTGCACCCACAACGAGCCTTAAAATTTGAGCTTTTGCACCCCCACGATTTCCCTTTTTGAGTTTGCACTTCATTTTGGAGTGCATGCTCAAATAAAATAGAATACAGGGTGCAATGTCAAATATTCCGACAAATCATGTGGTGTAAGAAACCAACTTTTTAGACAAAACATCATCAAATGTAAAAATGGACCATTTTTTGTGCATTTTGACAAAAAGTATGACTCTTACTGTTAGCACAATACGTGTGAATCTAATGGAGTTCAAAAAGTTTGTGAACTAACGTTTCGATAAATAGAGATTCTGTTGGCGGGACCGGTCTGGCCCTTAGAAATGTGGATCATCTGTTGCAAGGCACCATTGGACAAGACATCCCACTGGTTCCTGGTTTCTTCACTCCTTAGGAAATCAAACAAGCGCAGCCTTGTAATTGGCAACCAAATGGTCTTGGTTGCACTTAACACCACTCCTGGCGGCTCTCCCGGCTCACCATGACTCTTACGCATGCTCAACCTAACAGCAGCAGGATCATTTCCATTCCCGGTTTGGATAGGATCCCACCTGTACATGTTTGCACAGACAACAGCACAGAAGCTACGGGTCATGCGTTGTGCCAATTGCACAATACTCCTCCTGCCACCTGGACTAATAACTGCAATTGCATGTTTGATGACTAGCTTCCGTCAGAATTTTCAACCACTGAACTCCATAACAACTTATTTAGAATAACCAAGTTTAAGTGTCTGTTTGGATCTAAGAAAGAAAAAGGCAGGCATATAAAGAATGAAAGTAGATGGAAAATTTGGGAGAAAAACTTAGGTTGGGGGTTTGTTGAGATTTGAGAGTCGATGAATCAATTTTAGGTACTAGCCCTAACTCATTATATTGCTATATTTCCAATGTACATATGCTAAAAAATATGGGATAGTTTCAAAAGTTATGATTAAATTTTATTATCGTGACTGTTGAAGAAGCTAAAACTTAACATTAAAAAACTATTTTATTTCCAAGACATTTTCTGCATTCCAAAAACAGCCTAAAAGAATATTACGGAGTACTTTTTTATGTTTGTTTTTATCATAAAAAATGTGAAGGAAAGTGACACATGAATAGTGGGAAAAACATACTATGGAATATTAAGGACTGTAACTCTATATAATACTCCGACCTCCGTACTGTAGAAGAATAAGATTGAAAAAGTGTCTAAAATATACGTAGTGTTGATCAAGTATGAATTTTCAACTCTATCATTTATTGTCCATCAACTACTCTTCTTTTCTCTTTTTCTCTCAATTTTCTTTGTTATGTTCCTTCTCAAGCATTTCCCAGATTCCAAAAAGATCCTTAAAAGTACAGGGGGGAAATCTGAAAGACCTGAACTTTCTGCACTAGGAATAGAGGGAGACATGATGGCGGCTATGCACTCGCATTGCCTCTGAAGGGTGGCAAGCCACCTTTGTGCTCCAAGCCCCACACCAGACCTTATCAATGGTTTTAAGAAATTGTGGACCATACTCTCGTCATATTCCATATGTTGAATCCATAAAACCTGAAAAACAAAGTTCGTATTTTATATTACTCAATTACAAATACAAACCACTTTGCACTCATTTTTGCTGATCTTGAATTAAAATATTTTTTACTTGCCTTCGAATAACCATTCTGTAAATCTTGGACAATGCAGCCTGAAGGAAGCATTCTGCAGCTTTGAAATTCATGTGGTTGTGAACCATCCACAGAAACATCAACAATGGCCCACACACCTTCGGCATGATGTTTGCAGAACCGGAGAAATTTTACATTATGAAGGGGTGCCAATGGAGACAGAATTTGAAGTTCAGCATGCATCTACAATTGTATAAATATTTCAATCTCTAGTTTCAATAAAAAGGACAATAAGGTTTTTTGGCATCCATAACCGAGCAACCTCTGAAACGCTATTAGAATCACGTATAGCATAAGTTAGCCAAAACAGGCTCTAAGTCACTACTAGCTCAACCTCTGAAATGAAACAATTTTCCTTTTGTAGATTCTGCCATTTTAGACAGCAGGAGAACCCTTACAAAACAGGCCCTAAATGTTTTCAAAAACAAGAAAATCTATAAATGTATAAACAAAACAAAGAAAGAGTATATATACCAACTGCAAGGAACCATCTCTGCTTCCACTAGGGTTGCTGGATATCACATCAATGACTGAGGCTCTTCCAACAATGCCAGTGAACATTTCTGCCCATCGATTCTGAAATAACGTGTACCGGTCTAAATATATTCCAATTAATACAACAATATAAATAATTATACAAAAAATATCTCAAAAAAAAAACATTTTACTTACAGCATCCATTAAGGTTTCCACAATGGCCATACTATTGAGCAATACAGTGCCAGTAGTTCTACTTGCCTCAGTGATGAAGTTAGGAGGTCTCATTCCAATACAGCAACGAAATGTCCTATCATACTCCTCAATATTTAATGCCTCTCCATTCCCATCTACGCTTCGATGCCATAAAGGCTCACCAATCTCAGCCAGCTTCAACAGCTCATTCATAGCCGTAAAACCAAGATCCATTACCATTGATCTATTATCATAGTCATTGCTTGGTACATTCCATGCATCAAAATTGCTTCTCCCGACAGCGAGTTCCAAATCAGTATTCCCCATTGAACCGGAGAAAGGCGAAATCGGCTTTCCAAGAAACTTGTTGGCCAAGACACAAATTCTATTAAGCTCATCCCTCAAACGTGTGTTCTCAAGCCTTAAATGATGTTCCTCCACGTGCACTTCACCAAGTATGGCCTGTCCTCCACACTGGTTGCACATTGGGTTGCTTATTGCTTCTTTCATTGCTATGTTCTCTATCCGAAGCTTATCATGTTCTTGTTTAAGTATAGCATTTTCATGTCTCTCTAATTGAGTCTAAGTCATTCAGTACAAATAAGAAAAAGGACAAGTTTCAGTTTAAATGTAAACAATCAACAAGACAAAAAAGCTGCCATTCTTACATAATAATTATACCTTCATTTGAGTTCTTCTATTCTGAAACCAAAATTTAACCTGTTTGTTTTCCAAGTTTAATCTCCTACTAAGTTCCAATCTTGCCTTTTCATCAGGATGTGGGTTCTCCTTGAAAGCACTAAACCAGGAAAAGAAAAATGCACAAAATTATATTATGGCAGAAAGAAAAACACAAAGAAAAACAGCAGATCAAGCTTATTTACGATTCAAGTTCTTGGATTTGATAGGGAGTATGGCGATGGTATTTCTTTCTTTTGGAGGATTTAGTGCCTGCTGTTGGGTCTTGATCATCCCCAGATGCACCTTCAACATTTTCACTACCAGACCTACTCTCATATCCATCCTCTCTACTCCCTCTTCCTATTAAACCTGGATCAAAGCTTTCTCCTAACACTCCCAGACCACCCTCCATTTTGGGTTTCTGCACAAGCGAAGTTTAAAAAAACAATATAATGATAACACTTTTATTCATGAGCTCTTTCGCAAAAGAAAAAATCAAAGCTTTACGGGTCACATGAATCTTTTGACCATTTTTCGGAAAAAAAATAAAGAAAGTTGGATATTCATACAAGGGCAAGAGAGAACGGAGGGGGGTTGAACACGGGCCGGGTCTGGACCACAGCCGGGTCAGCCCGTTGTGGCCGAGTTGTCATGGTACAACTGTACGGACTTTCCGCCACCATTCTAGAACTTACGCCGCCCCCCGCCGCCGCTACTACCGACGGAGCCTCCAAGGGTAGTGGTCGTCGTCATCATAAACACATAAAATTCGAGTCTTTTTCACTTCCCGGAAAACAAGCCTTCTCTCTCTCTCTTCAGAGGAGGGATTTCAAAGATCTTTTTTACACCCCACAACAACCCAAACCCACGAAATTTAAGGAGAAGCAAATGCGGGTTGGAATAAAACACCCACGACTCCGTTTTATTGCACCACCATCTCTAGCTGTCAGTACTCAATAGTCTTCCATATATCTAAACCCTTGTTTTGTTCAAAGCGAGACATGGGGTTTATTTGACCGCTTATATAGCTGTCAAATCAGTCATGGGAGGAGAAGGAAGAAAGTCCCCATAAAGTGGAAAGCGGAGAGAAAGTAAAAAGCCATACTACAATTTTAACCCCCAGTGAAAAAAGGGCTTTTCATTACCTAGCGAACAGAAAAAAGTACTTTTGAAAACCCACAAAACCAGGAAAAAATTCAAAAAATACGGTGTAACAGCAAAAATTATAGATCACGCCGGCTGAATTTTGACTCTTTCGGAATCAAGATTGAACCTTTTTACCCCATTCTCTCTGCCCATGAGATCATGCCCCCAAAAATACACTTTTTGTACGGAGAAAGAATCCAACAAAAAGGCTTTCTTTCTTTTATTTTAATCATTGACATGTCCACTAAAAGTTAAAACTCAAAAACAGACAGATTTCATTTATTCAAGCGTGGGCAACAACAAAATTTCGTATTTGTTTTTTTTTTTGCTTTTCATGTCGGGATCTGAATATTCTAATGAATGATTAGGAGGGGGAAATGGAGCCACAAGATTGCCAAATGACTTACTGTGTGTCCAGCGGCGCACGTTAGTCGAAGGATGAATGTAGAGAGTCTCGATTCCTGCAACAAATCGAAACCTTGCCAGTCTGTCTTTTTTTCTTTCTTTCTTGAATTCAATCTTTAATCATCGTTTTATACTTCTAATTACTCCGTATTTGTTTCCCATTTAGCACTGTTAGATGCAATTTATTATGTTTTAAAAAATAGAATGAGAGATGGGGAAACAGATTATAAAATCGAACTATTGAGCAGCGTACGTGTACCAAGCCGTGTTCTAATAGAGTGTTGATACTCTGACAGAAATTTCCCCGATTTTCCTTTTTTGCCGAAAGAGAACAATCCGGGGTATTTTATTTTCTTTTATAGAAAGAAATAATTGAATTTTACAGTATCATTTTACATTTTCCAACTCATCATCATATCTCAAAAGAAAGGACTTTATTTATTCTTATTAAAGTCATTAATCATTACATGTTTGTACTATTATTATATACTACTGCGTATTTGTAATCAGATTTGGCATAGGAGGTAGTAACACAATGTTGACTATGTTTGCAGTTAACACTACAGTGAACAAATGTCCATGTTCTTATTCACCATACTTGAAGAACCGCAGTAAGAATGCTTTTAAAATAATATACATGGTTCAAGTCACTTCGTCTAACTATTTTTGGATCATATTTCAGGAAGGAGTCTTGAACGCTTCAAGGAGTTAAGGAAGGGTGCTTTCTAAGATGGAAGAAACTATGTTGTATTGTTTTTTATGAAAACATGACTGGTCATTTTATATTTGAAAACTATGACATTTGGACTGCTTTCAAATGAAGTGTGTATAATACTTGCGAAATAATAATGCAAATAGAATCCTGGATTCTCTGTAGTTTTCATTACATATTCTAAAAAAATAGGATCAATTAGTTGAAAGACTTGAAACATTACATTTATTATAGTTCATCTGGTATAGTTTATATAGCTATAGTAGTTGTAACCTATTAGGCTTGAAAAAAAAGTTTTAAAAAAACATTTAAAAAGTATGATTAAAAAAGTATGATAGTTAATTTACCTTTCAAAATGACATCTGATAAAATGAAGGTTTAGATTTACGTAGACAATGTAAGTATCACAAGCAAGCTAATTCCACATGCTTTCTAAAACATTATCTTGATACGAATAATAGGCAACAGCCAAATTGGCTTCAACATGGCAGTCAGGCAGTGTCTAAAAACAAGTGTATGTAATACTCTGTAGTTATTAACAGTTTAGGCTTTAAAATACAATAACATGGCTATCATAGAGTTTTTAAAACCTGGAACTAATGTTGCCTTACGTTCTACTAGGTCTGCATCACAAGTCATTTTATTCAAAAATGTTGCCTTGAATATAATACTGTATTAATATGACGACCAGCAAGGCAGCAACAGATTAAACCGAAAATTGGCAACAAATTTTTTCAAAATTGACATAAATTTTGGTAAATTAAAACAGAATTGCGAATCGTATGATAAATTAACAGATACAACTTCTTAAATAAAAATTTGGACAAAGATACGATATTTATATACCCATCGGCATCCCCGAGGTCGGATTACCGGTTGGCCGCCGTTGTTTAACTCCGTACACAAACAAGCAAGGTAAAGAAAGGAGGCGTAAGGACGAAGGAATCAAAGGATGAAGGGAACAGGGACGAAGTTTGTGGAGACAAAGGCACTAAGGGAGGAGGTTTCCAGAGAGCATCGGTTTAACCAATGATACTTCTAGAACCGATGGGGTATGAGTGGGGCGACGCAGGCTTTTTGTTTTTTACCGTGTACTATGATGACAATTGACAAGTAGGGTTGGGTTGAGTAACAAATGCCTTAGTTGGTTTCGGACTTTCAGTTGGACTGGAATTTGAGTTCATGTGGGCTTATTTTATTTATTTATTACAAAAGACTGATAAATACTCCGTAGGTAATTGTATTTTTTTTAATGTGTGATTGTATTGTATAATTATTCTTGAATGAATGGCAAATTTAGAATCCGTTTGGTGTTCCTGTATTTTGAATTATCAACCCTATCAATCAACTTTATCATCATACATATAATTTTTTATTTTGCGCAAATTTAGGTATAAATAAGTAAGGTTGAAGTTATTGAAGAACACTTTTTCAATAGAATCGGACGATTTAGTCACTAATTATTGCAAAGTACTATCTTCGTTCTTAAATAAGTGTAACATGTTGAATTTTACATTATTCACACGCTTTACTTTGACTTCGTTTTATTTATTGATGTATTAATATATTTTTTTGAAAAAATATTATTAAATTTGTCTCATTGTAAATTTTCAAAATATGATTTTTTATTTCTTTACTAATAGAGATTCTATATATTAATGGTTAAAGTTGTGTCTCAACAATTGTGAAATGTTGACCGTTACACTTATTTAAGAACGGAGGAATTAAGTATTATTTTGAAAATATTAATTTGTCGTGAAGATGGAGAAAGATCAAGTGAGAATTTAACTTTGCACCTTATTCTTTAGGCGATATTGAACTTTGCATCCTGTTTTCAAAACCATTAATGTATGTACCCTATCTGTCCAAAAATTGTGAAGGAGTTGAGTGCAAAATGAAATGCTTTTATAGTGAACTATGGTACATATGTTAATGATTTTGAAAATCATGCCAAATAATATTATAAATGTGCAATACAAATAAAAAAACTTTATATATTTTAATAAGGTCAATTTTTTTTTGAATATTATGAGAGTGATTTAAATGTTTAGTAAATATTACCATTAATTGACTATTATAAATAACAACTACCTTTCATTACAATTTTGTATATAATTATATATTTACTATTATATGATTGTATAATTGTTTCCCGGTTTTCCGGCATTGACCAAGCGGGTCTGGATTAACCCGTGACCTGATCATGTGACCGGGTCGTTTCCCAGTTCGGTTTTTAAACATAGGTGCAAAGACAAATTCTACCAAAAATCATACTATCAGTGTTGTTTACAAGTTAAGGAAGTGCTTCGAAAGTTCGAAACATATAGTCTACCAGAATCTTATTGTAATATTTAATTTTTACTACTTATTTCA